GCTTGCAAGGCTTAGATCGCTGCAAAGAAAAGAAAAGTGTCAAGTACAGAATATTAAAGAAAAATAAATTGACCGAGTAGTTAGCACGACTTACATGTCTCGCCGAAGTTCTTGCTAATGAACCAGCCCGGTACGTTGGCTGTTTCATAGTTACCAAACACCCAGAAGAAATCGTCATCGTGTAAGTCCTTATCTAGAGTGTCGGTCACTATTTTTTCTTTGTCCGGTCGAATTCTTAAGTAATAGGCGAAGCCATCGCCCGTGCGCCCAAGGGTGTATTGACGGAGTATCTCGGCTAAACCTAAGTTGGTTCCTAGCCGGTTATTCAACTCGTGGACCTCGTTGATTATTCGGTAAGTGTTTGTTGAGACTTGAGTGGGTGCCAGCCTGGTGCGGCACAAGAATTCGGTCATCAGTGGGTTGACCGAGAAGCGGAGGCCTCCTTCAATGATGGATAGCACGGTGAAGGGGCACTGGTCTAATCTGCCCCAAGGGGTTGTCTCAATCTTGCCGAGCTCTAGGTGGACGTCGGCCGGGATACCATACTCTTCCCGGAAACCGGAGTATCGACAAGGAAGCGGAAGCGCCCCATGTGTGGCCGGCTGATTTAGCTCGGCTGAGATGGTTTGGCAAAAACTGGTGTTTAATGGCTGCTCGGTCTTTGAGAGCCTCAGTACTGGTCTGTGGTCCCCTTGGACTCTGCAGGAAAATGAGGGCAATTGTAAGTGGAAGCGCGGTCGCGCAAACGAGCTTGACTTTAGCTCGGTCATGAAGAGTGCCAGACCACCCCGGTCTCAGGGAGCTCAGTCGCTCAAGCGGACCAGATGTTATCCCGGTCAAGCGACTAAGTTCTCTACCTACCCCGGTTTCTTCTAAGGTTTCGGCAAACTTGAATTCGCTCGGTCTTATTGCTTTTTGGGATCAAAGGTAAACCTGAAGCCCGGTCCGCCCCAGATCTTCAATGTTCATCATAGAACATGTAGAACAGCAAGGAGAATGACGGGTTAGGGAAGGTTTTGGGGGCCTATACCCTAAAATCTATGATTTATGCCCTAAAATGTGAAGTATAAAACGAAAAATTAATCAAAAAAGGATTCGAAGGACTTACTAGTTGAGGGCAGTGGCTTCTTCTTCAAACTCGAACTTAGGAATAGCAAAGAAAGCAAGGACAGGAGCTCTGGATCGTCGAAGAGGAAGGAGAGTCGGTAAGAAGGGGTTGAAGTGAAATGAGGCATGTTTATATAGGAGGAAGGACCACCAAAAATTTGAATGCCAACGGATGCGATGGTTGGCTGCTCGAGGCCAATCAATGCATGACACGTGTCCCCATTAATGACAACGTCAGAGTTGAAGAGACAGGAAGGTCAGACGAGCCATCGATCGAGTGAGTCAAGGAACCGAGCAAGGAAAGTAGCCCAGTTGACCTCTTGCAAAACTGAGGATCGGGGCGTTACCCCGGTCAGAACAGGTAATCCCGGTCATGCATGCGCGGACGGAATTAAGAGGCAATTGAAAGGGAGATTTATGATCTAGACTGGGCTGTGGAAATAGCCGGGCAGATTTAGACCGGACACAGTGGGCCATGGTAGCATGGGCCTGTCCAGATAGGTTGGACCGAGCTGTTTGGCTTCATGGTACAGAAACCGGTCAAGTGAGGATTCGACCGAAATATCCGCTGCCTCACTAGGTTCCACGGTTCGAGAGTTAGCTCGGCAGGAAGGCCGACGGTTAACCCGAGCTCGGCTTTGCCGGGATGCAACTGAGCTCGATCGTCATTTAATACAGCGAGCGGAGCACTCTAGCTAGCTGCACAATATGGCAGTTGATAGCCGAGAAGCTGCAGCTCGGCTGCCGAGCTCCCAGTAGAGTGGGCTGGCAGTTTGGTTAGGTGGTGTTCAGCAAGATTTGTGGTGACAGATGGGATAGCAGCACCACGTGTTGAGAGACTAATGGGAGTAGATTTGGGGCGCAGAAGGTATATAAGCAAATCTGCGCCCCCATGCTGAGGCAAATGAACATTTGGTAAGATTTACACAAAACACTCAATCCTCTCTCTCTCTCTCTCTCTCTATCCCTATGTGTGTCTAACTTGATCGTCGGAGGGGTATTCCGGCCACACACCGTCGGGTAGCTCACCGCTGTTGTGCTCGCAGGTCGATCGGACAGACAGGAGCTTGGAAGAAAGGAATACGGGCTTGCCTGAATATTTGCTTCCCGTACACTAGGTCAATGACATTATGACTGTTTATGTGGACTGGTTTTTGTAAAATAGTTTAGGTGATTGAGTTTTAAGAACATAATTTGTTCTTGATGTTGACCGGTATGGATAATTAGGAGGCATAGGTGTAATTGATTGGGAAGCAAAAGGGTCAGTAGCAAAAGCAGATATGCGCACAACATTATATCCCTTGATGAATGGGGTCTTCCTTTCTTGTTGCGAGATCTTCCTGATCATACAATACAATATAGTTATTTTGATTATATTGATGCATGGTTCAAAGTCCTCTTGCATTAAAATGAAACATACAGTCACTCTTGGTTCTCCTTTGATCACCAATTCAAGTCAAAAATTCTTTCATGGTTTTTGAGATAATGGTTTCAATATAGTGCCATCCTAGAAATCATCCCTTCAAACTTTATGGATCAAGTCACTCATTTCTCCATAGTCTACAAATTGTGTTAACATAAGAGTCAGTTTCCAATATTGCTCATTTCATGTCCAAATATAAAGTTCCTTGGATATTCAAATGGCAATATCATATTGAAGATAACATAGTCATTAGACAACATTTTGTCAAATTGTGGGATGCATTTAAAGCCCATTGCATTATTGATCAAGTCCAAAAAGAATTTCCAGTCAATATTTATGCTCCTACTCCAGTAATGGTCAAGTTCTCTCAGTAGAACCCAACAGCTTCAGTCACTCAAAGAAGCCCACTTTCTCTCACAACAGTTAGACTTAGAAGCCCAACGGCCAGCTCTGGACCTCCCAAACTCAAGTCATCCAAGTCAAAGCCCAAAACAAAGCCCAAGTCAGAAACAAACAATGAAGAACTCATCCAGATTGCGAAATTACTACTGACCCAAGCCAAGTCACAAGATGAAGACAATATTTCAGATTGATTAGCCTCTTCTAAAGCCTCTACTAGTTATGATCCATATGACTCTCAATACCAAGATGCTTAGGACCCATATGCTTAACACAGTCATCAACATTGGATATCAATATATTCAAAAGCTTCAATCAATACTCTTCTTTTGAGAAAAGTTGCTTTTGAATATATTCGGATTCCCAATTAGTCACTATGAAAGTCACGCCCCTCCAACTTTTCAAAAAAAAAAAAGAGTAAAAAATGGTCTTTTTAGTCACCACAAAAAGTACAAACAGAACCTGTGAACCTTCACAGCAGCAAACTAGAGCCCATACAACTTCATAGTTCACATTTGGCGTTTTATGGCCCGTGAATTTTTTCCAAGGAGAAGAGAGAGGAATTGAAGTCACTTGCATCTCTATAAAGAGGGACCTCCTTAGTCATAAGAACTCATTCGAAATTCTGAGAGATTTCAAAAAACTCTCTCAAACTCTTTTCTTAAAATTCTCTATTTTATAATCTGTGTTTTGAAGAACTTGTATTTTGAAGTAATGATTTCCAGTTTCCAGTAAACAATAAACAATTGTAAGTTACTCTTATTTCAGTCTATTGTAAGTTACTCTTATTTCAGTCTATTTTAATCTGTATTTTGTTTTGATTAAAAATTTATTTAGGCCTAGTTTGGGAAGACTAAATAAGTGTACTTTTTGATTTTTTATGAAATATGGGTTGGGTTTGGGTTGGATTTGAGGTGATGTGTTAGAGAGGTGATGTGACTTAAATAAGATGATATGACTTAAATATGATAGTGACTTTTTGACTTTTTATCTTTTTTGTCTCATGCCAAACTTGGCATTAGTCTTTATGCTTTTCTATTTATTTAATCTAGTCTTTATGCTCTTTTGTTTAAACAAAAATATTTGCTAGGTCACATTTCACCTATATTTTCTATTTTCTTTTCTAAATCTCTCTTCAAACCCCCCAATCAAATACAGCGTTAAGAAATTATATTTTGAAATTTAAATTCCAAGGTTGTAATGCCCCAACTTCAGGGCTGTTAATAAATCAAATTAACCTCAAATTTCAAATTTTAACTAATTAATAACCTCAAAAATACATGATTTTACAATCTATCCCCTTTAAACAAATTTTATTCTCGAAATTCATAATCTCTACTACTTCAAAATTTAATAACTACTAACTCCTTAAATGATAAGCTTTCGCTACGCACTCTAATATAAATAACGTTTTTTTTTTTAATCTCAAATATCAATAATTTTTTTTTACCTCAAATATTGAATCTAAATAGTAATCACCCAACAGATCTTATGTAAGACCTAATCCCTATACTCTGATACCATTCTGTAATTTCCTAATCCATATACTCTAATATCATTCTGTAATATCCTAACTTCTGAGCTGTTAGTAAATAATATTAATCTCAAATTTAAAATTTTAACTAATTAATAACCTCAAAAATACATGATTTCACAAAGATAATAATTGCATATCCTTTAAAAAGTTAAAATTCTTAAAAAGAACTAACAAATTAGGACGAAAGGAATATGAAGTTTGGAATGTTTGGCATTTTAATGTTTTTTTCAATAATACTAGGGACATTAAAGTTTTTTTAATTTTTCAATCACAACAAAGTAAATATTTGTTTTGAGATTGAGTTCAAGTTTAGCTATCCAAATAAGTACATACTTTTTATTTTTTTATCTTTTTTCTATCATATTATCTCTCTACTTTTCTACACATTTTTTCATAAAAAATAAAAAGTACACTTATTTAACTCATTCCAAACCACCCTTAAATTAAATTTGACCGATTAGCTCGGATTTGGATCTGCATGCTATGAAACAATTTTTTTTTTTCTTTACCAATATGTGTTGAAAACCTCAATTTTAACAAGATGCCTATAAAATCCAATTTCCACATGGAATTTCCAACTAGGAAAATTGAGGGGACTTGGTGAGCGAAAATGGAGGGAAGGAGAGTGGTAGTCTCAGCTCTGCAATTCGCTTGCTCCGACGATGTTTCCACCAATGTTAACACTGCCGAAAGGTCTCTCCACTCTTCTTCTTCCTACCTTTAGTTTCATCAATTTTAGGTCACGAAACTCAAAAAACAAAACAATCAATCTCTGATTATGTTTAGGGTTTTGTCGTAATCAATACAACAGTTCACCGAAGTTCAATTACAACTTTTTTGAGCTAATTTTGATGATCTTGTTCTGTATGTATTTCTTTTATGGATCTGTGATATGTGTTAGATTGTATTTTTGTTAGACATCTTCATTTGCAATGAACCCATTCATTGTGCATATTTAAATCAGTTACTGGTTCGGTCTGACACTCGTAAAAATTATTATTTTTTGCTCACTTGCTAATAAAAAAACATAAAATCAGATTTAAGAGCAGAACATAAAATTTAAAGAAAACATGTATTTTGATGTATCCAATCCAAACAATTAGTGGGTCTGTTCGGTTACTTCGGTCTAAAATGCGTGTGTGCAAAGGCCAATTTGATTTGATGGAGAGATGAACCAGTGGCACTTTTCATTGTGGAAGCATCGCATTGAAAATAATGAATATCATGAGATTTGTCTGATGGTCCCTAGTCTAAACATATACGGGATGATATATATGGTTTGAATTTAGTCTCAATTCATGCTTTGAATTTTTTATGATGTCCTTGATTCATCCCCTCGAACTTTTAGCTTCCTTCCTAGAAATGCTTAGACATTTTGTCTTCTGTTAATCTGTCAAACACTATGCACACAGTATACTGGTTTCATCCCCTTTTATTATTGTTACTCTCTTCCTAGTCATTACATGTTGATTAATCAACTATTTGACCTAGTATTTTGGTCGATATATTAATCTATTTGCAATTTGGATGCTTGGAAGCTCGTCATTCATTTCTTAACTCCCCCCACCCTGCCTTATTTTTTATTTTATTTTATTGTTGTTATTATTATTATTATTATTGGTTTTTGGAGGGGGTCGGGCTGGTGCTCTCTGTAATCACGTAACTCTTCATTCTTTGCTTTTCAAATCTTGTAAATTGGATGCATTGAATGGAATTTAATAACTTATATATATATATAGATATACATTGTGGCATTCGATCTGGTATTCCTAAGTGATATTCTTCATGACAGGCTGGTAAGAGCTGCTCATGGGAAGGGAGCAAACATCATTCTTATTCAGGTAAATGCTCTAGATGATTTGGATGTGTAACCCTCTTGAAATTATCAAACTTGCTTGCTGTTCTTGAAGAAATATTTCTTCCGCACTTAAAATGTATGTGCCCAATTTATCTTTATGCTATATTATGCCTTAAGATTATTTGTTTATATGAAGCTCTAGTATTTTTTTAACTTGCTGATTAATCTTAACGCCTAAAATGTTTTGTCCCTTTTACAAATGCTGAATGATATGAATTTGAGAGTAATCAATGTTTATTTGTGCAATTGAAGACCTTGATATCCTTTTTCCTCAGCTCTAATAAGTTTAGAAATAAGCCTTGCTGTTTAATCTTTTGGTTGACTACGAAGGTGTAGCATGGTGTTGCAACTTACAAGTGTCCTTTCTTCCTTGTGTTCTATAGTACAGTTTTTGTTCTTATCAGCAGTCTACTCTTCAACATTCAATATCCTCTTTGTTTCCTCTGTGAGGAGCTGATAGATGAAATAAGGGAAACTTCTATGAATAGCTCTCTACCATCTGTTGTTTATAGAATGAAATATTGGGTATCTCGGAAGAATCATGCCTGTAAATGATCCAAATTGAATTAATGATTTTTTTTCCATTGGATGATTGGTCACACAAGAAAGGATTAAAAAGCCAATGCTTATGTAAAGAAACTTGAATAGCATCAATTAAGGGGGGGAGTGAGGTGAAGTTAAAAATATCTCATCATGTGTGATGAAAGACCAAAAATTGCATGAGATGGAAGAAAGCTTTAAGAGGTAGGTGTTATGGGCATGGAAGACCCAATACAGAAAATGTGTCTTAATAGAAGACATGGACCTAAGAAAAGAAAGCGTCTCTAGTGGATAATTTAGAAAATATGATTGATCCATTTTTTTCTTGTAGCTCAGTTTGTATCATCTTTGAATTAGGACTCAATTAAACTTGTCTTGAATCAATCACTTGTCATTGCCATTCTCTATCATCGGCAAATTAAGCTGTCAACTGCTGATAAAAGAATGTAAGTGGCTAATTTTGGGGGGAAGGTTTTATTTTCCAATTTTTGCTTGTGGACATTAAAAAATTGAATTTGTTGAAACACCAATAGTGATAAAGCATGACTTGAGGAAAATATATAAAGGCATTGTTGGATGCTCTTATGTGAGAATACAAATGAGGAAAAAAGAAAGTTAAGAACAAGCATAAAGATCAAAAAGAGATGGTTCATAGGTGTTTTGAAATGGGAAGAGCACACGGCAAGTTTGAGAAAAAACAAGAACCAAGAATCTTTTTTCACTTAAATGGATTGAAATACAATAATTTTGGGAATAACAAGAAAGGAGAAAGGACATCATTGATAGGGTATATTTAGACACGTATATGCCTATAAATATATATATACACACATGTATATATTGTCACTTGGAAAGAAATCGCTACAATAAAGGATTACTGCTTTTGAAACAATATATGGTCCAGTTGATGCTATGTTAGCTTGGTTTCCGTTAATGCTTACAGAATTTTAATGGAAACATTTTGAAATTCTGCATAATGATGCTAATATTAAACGTAGTTTCAACATGCTTTCACTGAGTTTTTGTCACAGCTGATGGCAATGGTCTCTCTTTCTCTCTCTGATAGATTGTTATGACATGCTTTTATATGGTTCTTTATTTCTTTCTTTAATTGATGGAGAGTTAAACCTCACCTCCTCTTCCTTTCTTTAACCTGGTGGTTAAGAGTTGATATTGTCTAAGCATTCATTTCTTATGCCCTTGTGGGTGCATGCAGGAACTGTTTGAAGGTTACTACTTTTGTCAAGCACAAAGGGAAGATTTCTTTCAGCGAGCTAAGCCTCATGAGGGCCACCCTACAATATTAAGGTAAATATCCCATGTTTTGGTAGGTTATAAACTTTGTTCAGCTAACTGACCCCTATGCTGTATGCTATGGAGGCCATGGGTATGGCATATCACAAGAACAAAAGAACATGCCTTGGCTTCAAACTGCATAGACATTTTAATCCAGTTGAGCATTTATGATATGGCTCTGTGCATGCTCTGTAGGATGCAAAAACTCGCAAAAGAGTTGGGGGTAGTGATACCAGTTAGCTTCTTTGAAGAAGCAAACAATGCCCATTACAATTCAGTAGCCATAATTGATGCTGATGGCACGGATCTTGGACTCTACAGAAAGTCCCATATTCCAGATGGACCAGGTACGTGGATCTGGCCGTGGGTTGCAACCTAACCTTTAATCTGCCATGTTTTTAAATTCAATTTGATTATGATGGATAGTTCTTCTTGTTAGGTTACCAGGAGAAGTTTTACTTTAATTCAGGAGACACTGGCTTTAAGGTATGTTTAATATTTCAATACACCAACTTTGATGGTGACTTGCTTTTATTTTATTTTATTTTTTTATGGAACTTCCATTTACCATTCTGGTATTTGTAAACAGGTTTTTCAAACTAAATTTGCAAAAATTGGAGTTGGTAAGAACTTTTTCTTTTTTGTTCCTTATTTTTTACTTTGTTTATTTAGTATTTTGAGCATGTTTGTAAATTTATTCCGATGATGCCAAATGCAGTTGGCTATATATACAAAGGATGTTTACAGAAATCATACCTTTAGATTGTTGTTTGTAATTTGGGCTTCAACTTTGCAATGTAAATATGTTACCAACAATCATGAAAAGCAGAAAAGAAGTAAAGATCTCTAATCGAACTGCAGTATATTCTTTGACAGCAATTTGCTGGGATCAGTGGTTTCCAGAGGCAGCCCGAGCTATGGTTCTCCAGGGTGCAGAAATATTATTTTATCCTACTGCTATTGGATCTGAACCTCAAGATACAGGACTTGATTCTCGTGATCACTGGACGCGAGTGATGCAAGGGCATGCTGGGGCCAATTTGGTAATTTTCATATTCTGATGACGAGAAACTCTAGTCTATTCTTAATTTTCATGTGCCTTATGTAAAGAGTTGATGATGAATAGGCTGATTTATTTTACAACCTATATTATTTATTTAGCCAATGAAAAGTAACATGGAACAAGTAAATGTGTCTCAAAGTAATATTGGTTCCCTGTTATCAATATTTGTGGTGATCAAAACCAAGGACTTGCTTTAATATTTTTATCATAATGTCGCATCATGAAATGATAAAAACAAAGTAATCAATTTAGATAAATTCAGGTACCTCTAGTTGCTTCAAACCGCATTGGGAAGGAGATCATCAAGACTGAGCATGGAAACAGTGAGATCACATTCTATGGCAACTCTTTTATAGCAGGTATTCCACCTTATTGACTTGTAGCATTTGTAGAGTTAAATGCTTGTTCATATATTGTAATTTTGGACTCGTACAGCTGACAGATATGGTTTAACATTTTTACCTTGATGAACAGGACCCACTGGAGAAATTGTTGCGTCTGCTGATGATAAAGACGAAGCTGTTCTTGTAGCCCAATTTGATCTTGACAAGATCAAATCCAAGAGACATAGTTGGGGAGTATTTCGTGATCGGCGTCCAGATTTATACAAGGTACTTCTGACATTAGATGGCAGCAATCCCAAACTTTGATCTTACATATCTTATCCTATCAGTATCTTTTTGTTGTGTTGCTGAATAGAATTACTTCTACAACACTTCCTATTCTCATGGGAAATAGGAAACATAGCATGTTGATTGTGTTTGTGTCAAATGCTACGTGTAGCATTTTAAACATATGCCTGCTTTTGGACCGTCCAATATCAAATTTTTGTTTCCAGTAATAGATCAATATGTGGTGATCCAAAATATCAATCATTCATGTTACCCTTTTGATATCTCAGCTATTACTTTGTTGACTCTTGGACCTTGTTCTTCTGCTGGCATGGTATTTATTAAATATATGAGGTGTTTTATTACAGTATTCACATTACTTATTTTTTTCTTTCTGCTCTCCACTATATTCCTTGTTGGTTTGTTAGATATGTTTGAAATATGTATAATATTCAACTCTGTTAAATTGCTCAACTAAACAAATAACACAAACACGGTATTAAGGACTTCAAAATTATCAATAGAAATCTTGTATATATGGCTGCAAATAATACTGTGGATAAACTTGGTGATGCATTTCCTTAATCAGATGAAACACACCATGTTTTTCTTGATCTTGGGCAATTGGTGCAGCTGCTTGGATGCACTTTGGCCTTATATTAAGTCTCCTTCAGTAAGCAACACACGTCTTTGTTGTTGTCCATATATTGCCCTGAGATGAAAAGGAAAAAATTGAGGTTTAGAAGACCTGGGATATATTCTGCCACGTGTCTGGTTTAGAAATTTGTTGTTGTCCTTGAACACTCTATGTTTCTTTAGTAAAAGAATCTATTTGAAAAAAGGAAAGAAAAGAGAGTATTCTTGACTAGAAAATAATTTGTTTTGTCTCCGTTCATCTTGTTGTGCTCTCTCTTTTTATTTTAGCTTGGTGGATACCTATTCTCCAGTATGCTCACTCAAACAAAACATATAATAATGCTGGAGTGTGTTAGCAATAGGGGTGTAAAAGTCATAGGCTATTTAATCTTGGTTTGAAGTGTAACAATCAAACCAAACCAAACTAAGCTTTATGTCTCAATCAAGTGGGTCGGCTGCATGAATCATTTTTCTCCATTCAACTATGTCAAAACCTATCATTTAAATTAAATAAATTTGTATCTTTTTTCACTACCGCATCCCTGTCAACTTTGGTCTTCCCCTTCCGTTAGTATCTCCACTTATGATGATCCTATCATTCGTTTTTACCGTTGCATCTATAGGTCTTCGTTGTACATGATTAAACCATCTTAAACTATTCTTTCTTAATTTATTTTCAATGGGTGCTGCTTCTACTATTTCACGAATATATTCATTTTTTATTATATATTTTGTAGTCTTACCACACATGCATCTAAGCATTATTTCTTAATTGTCCAACACTCTATCCCATAGAGCATCGCTTGTCTTATAGTTCTATGAAATTTTCCTTTCAATTTCGCTGATATTTACCGATCACTTAATATGCTGGACACATTCTTTCACTTAAGCCAACCTATTTTGATTATATTGATCACATCATCTCCAATCTCACCATCCTTATTAATAAACTTACGTACCGAAACTGTTCATTATTTTTTATACCCTGGTTTTCAATTTTCACTTCTCCATTATTTCCACTTCTATTGTTGTTAAATTTACATTCCATGTATTCAGTTCTATTCCTACTAATTTTAAATCCTATTTAGCAAAGGTCTTTAGTTTTTATGTTGGTTCAAGGGTGTCTAGTGAAGCTCCTAGATTAGAACTTACTTTAGGTGTTTGTATGAATTTCTATTTAGTTTTTACCCATTTAATGATTGTTAAATTGGTTTTTAGTACCTGTTTTGTGCTGGGTGATTAAGAACAGCTAGGCCAGGACCACCCTGTTCATTTCAAATCTTTACTCGTGGCAGGAAAAAAAGTCTAAACTAGGTGTGCTTTTTTTGGGGTCACATGTCATGGACCAAATGCACAATACCTACCTATGGTTCTTTGTAGTCTAAAAAGGTGCAATGAGTGTTTCATTTCGTATTATGATTTGTAAATTTGCATATTTTCTCATTTATCTCCAACTTTTCTGGAATCTTTTATCTCAATGTTGCAAAGAATAAAGTTTACTTTGATGTCTGTTCTTCCCACAACTTTTATTTACGTTTTGTTTGAATTTTTTTATTTATGAAAGGAAAAGGGGAAAAAAAGTTTCTACCTTCGTTTATCTTTTTCCTTTTTATTTTCTTTTCTCTCCACTAATCTAAATTCAAACACAGCCTTAATGTTTTCCAGGTCTTGAGAACTTGGAAAACTATCATCATCTTTATAATCTTCATTTGACAATAATTGAGATTGATTTGCAAGTCAGACCTCCATTATGCTTTTCTTCTTGTGATGCCTCTTTTGTGTGTGTGGGGCTGTAAGAAAAACTGGTGAATTTGAGTCGATTGTCTGAGATTGACAGAAATTTCGGTTTTTTGGATCGGTTTTTCCTACGGTACAGACTGTTTTGATTCTAAGTTTTTTTTAGTTATCAATTCCTATTGAAATATTGTGTTAAAATATTCTTATATTCTGATTCTTTGATAACATTTTAGCTAGTGCTTTTTAGTAGCATTAAGCCTGTAGGATTTCCATGCTGGGGTATCTTTACTGATGAGGTGTTAATCAGCTGTCATGACTTTGAAGTTTGACCTTTATGTTCACATGTATTGCCCATGACTTTTAATGATTTTTATATGTAAAAATGTAAAAAAAAAATGATATAATAATTTATAATGATTTTTTTAACTTTTGTGTTAAAATATTTAGTCTTCACACGAGGCAGATTTATTATTTTTTATCTATAATTAATTTTCATCATCTTTGAGTCAATTTTTTTTTGGATGAAACACTAGTGTGTTTGGTTTGAATTTTCTGAATTAAGTTTTATAAAAATTGATTTTTTTTGTTTTTAGTGAATATTTTTTAAATTTTAAACATTTTTTTTTACTTTTTTAGATGCACCTTACTTAGATGTATCTAAAAAGTAAAAAATTTGTGAAAAAATAATTTAAAAAATTAATAAATACATAAAAATACGAAAAATGTACTAAATTCTTGTATTTTTTTGTATTTTTGGTATTTAGTGATTTTTTTAAAGATTTTTTTTACAATTTTTTTACTTTTTAGGTGTATTTATGTTAGGTGTGTCTAAAAAGTAAAAAAATTGCTTAAAATATTAAAAAATTTCAGTAAAAACAAAAAAATACAAAAAATAATAACGTAGAATTTTCTGAAAAGTGTTTTTTGAAAAGTGGAAACAAGCAAGGTGTAAATCTCAAATAGTAAATTGTATGGATTGTTTGGTCCTCTATTTTTTTTTATGGACTCAAATGTCCCATTCTAATATGAATTACATCAAGAGTAAGTATAAACAGGTGTATTATGTGGTTGAGGGACAAATGTGAGTTTTTCCATCATGTTGAAATTATTAAATATAACACTTCAAAAAAAAAATTTAATGTTCCTTAAACGTAACACTCTAATGTAACACACTAAAATTTTTTTGTACTTTTTTCAAACGTAACAACATAACATTTCTTAGTAAACGTAAAATTTCAATCAATGTAATACAAAAAAATTATTTAGTGTAGTTTTATCAAATGTAACAACATAACATTTCAAAAAAAATTATCTTAATGTATTTTTTTCAAACGTAATGTTCCAATCAATGTAACATACACTAATTTCTTAGTGTATTTTTTCTAAACGTAACACTCCAATGTATATTAGAAAATCACACTAATAGAAATGTAGATTTTCATGCTCGATAACTAACAATTCAGTCACCAATTCTCCTAAAAAGAATGTTTCACACCTCACATTTTCATTCTCATCTCAAAAACAAATTAGAAAATTGACAAAATGAATTACAAAAGGACATTCACTTAAATTCAAATAGTACCAAATCAAATAAATATAACTTTTTAAAACAAAAAAGACTAATTGGTTCATAAGAAAACTCCTACAATTAAATAGATCAACATTTTCCTCTATGTGATTTATAGGTAAATATATATTTTTTTAACATTATAAAAAGAGTAATGTTATATAAATAAAAAATTTATACATAATAATATGGCTCATTGTGAACTTTTTAGTTCAAATTAAAACATTATTGAAGATGAATTTATTTATAATAATAGTATTGTTATATTATTTTTGTTAAAATTTTTGTATGAGTTTTGTTGGAGGGGAGAATTTTTCTTGTGAAAATTTAAAAGAAGTCTACTAAAGATGAAAAGAATTCAAGTTTGTCAAAAAAGGTATAAAACGTTTGTTTATTTCCGTGCATAGTGAACCTTTTGTAATTTTATTTTTAATTTTTAAGATTGTTTAGTTCAGATTAACCTAAAAAAAAATTAAATTTAAAAGAAAAATCACTAAAAAACAAAAAGAAATCGAAAAAGATAAAGACAGCTTAAAGTTAAAAGGCTGTGCTTATTGTTATCACTGGGCGTTTTTTTATAGCTGGTTGCCATTTATTGCTGAAGTCACCAGACAAAGCCATATGGTTTACCAAAGTAGGATAGGCTAGGCCGTTTGTTTTCAGAAATAAAATGGACGAAATTTATGGTGAAGAGATTTATAATGAAGGAATTAAGTAAAATTATATTTATTTTGATAATAATTATTAGTGTAGGAATTGTTAAATTATTTTTATATAAAATAATAAAATAAATAAAAAATGACTCTTTTTTAATAAATCCTATTTGTAATTGTTTTATTCCATAAAACTCAATATATAAAAAATTAAACATTAATATTTAAAATAGAATTCCCAATAAAAAAAAAATAAAAATAATAAATTTTTTATAATCTCCTCACTATTTTTCTAATACTATCTCCACCTCCTCCATCTCAATCTCTTTTCAAGTTCTATTTATATCACTTCTTCCATCCTAATCTCTTTCACAATTTTACAAACAAACACAATATTAAATAATCATATTTCTATCTTAATCTCTTCCTATCTATTTAATCCCAAAACAAACAGGCGAGGGTGTAGCAGAGATACAGCTGTGCCAAAATTGATGTACTGCAATGTTACGGGCCGCAAAAATTTGTGTGTGAAAGACTTTTTCTTTCTTTTTTTTTTTTTTTTTTTTTTTTTTTTTTTTTTTTTTGATTGTTTGGCCGGTGAATTCTAAGTTTTTTCAATTGAGTGATGTCAAAGATTTTAAAAATTTTATTAAAATTTCTATCAAATGTCGGTGTAAGATTCATACAATGTGAGTCTCATGTGAATTTTACATTATATGAAACATTTGATAAAATTTTTAGAGTATGTAGTATTTTTATTTTTTTTTGTTCCCCGTTATTTGATAACAAATTCAAAATATTTTTATGATATACTTTTTTTATCGTATCTAACATTTTTGATTGACATATGCAATGCTTAATCACAGAAATGAGCCATGCCGGAAAATAATTATGGAAAATATTATTTTCAATTTTTTACCAAATCAATGATCATGTGAGACATTTGGGCTCTTTTTGGTTTAGATTTCAAAACATAGTTCCATCACAGATTGGAGTGTGGTATTTGGTTACAGCTTTCAAATCATAATTCTACATCTATTTCTCAAAACTCATTTCAATCTATAATTATTACTTTTCAAAACTCATAACTAAACACACAACTCAAAACTCTTTTCAAAACTCAAAAACAACTTAATTTTTATTTAAAATATTTTTTATTTTTTTATTTTATAGGAATATTTTTAATATTTTAATTTTCATAAAAATATTTTAATATTTTGATATTTTAATTGTAAATATTTTGATTTTCGAAATATTTTTAATATTTTGATTTTCAGAATATTTTAATATTTTATTTTTCAGAATATTTTTAATATTTTAATTTTCTAAATAATTTTAAAATATTTTTAATACTTTTAATGTTTATATTGACAGAAAAATGAATTGACAGACCCTAAAATAATTGACATTGAAGTTATTTGAAAAAAAAAATTATTCAAAAAAATTACTTAAAAAGAATTAATTGAAAAAAAAATCATTTTTTTATTTGAGTATTTTAAAAATAGTTTAGTTATGACTGTTGATAAAAATACGGATATCGAGTTATGAGTTGTCTCTTTGATTATCAATTATAGGTTGAATTAGGTTTTAAAAACTCATTACTAAACAGATTTTCTTATTTCAGATATCACATCAAACTTTCAAAACACAATTCCACATACAATTCAAAACTCAATTTAACACTCTATTAAAAAATCATAACCAAACAAATTTTCTATACTCAAATCATAATTACATAACTCACAAACTTAAAATACAACTCATATTCTCAAATCATATTTACGAAACTCTACCAAACCCTTAATAATTCATTTGATAGAAAATTTGATATTTCTAACCTTATCTAATAATTATTGGTTACTAAAGAAAACCTGTCAGCTTATGATTGGATTTGGTTCCTCCTTTAATTTGTTGGAAAACCTTAGCATGAAAAAGAAAGGTGCAAAAATAATACAAAAAGAAAAAAAAAATCCTTAAAATACCCTGTTTGCTTGGCTTTTTTTTCTTCTTGTTTTTAGAAACAAAAGTAATGAAAAGTTTGAAATATCCAATGCTTTTGGTGTTTATAATAAAGTCGGTCACTAGTTTTTTCTTTAAAAAAAAAAAATGGAACCATACAGTACGTCAAATGAGCTTCATGAATATTAAAAATAAATAAATAAAAAGCAACTAAATTTGAGTCTTATATCTGTTCAGATGTAATTTTTTCTTCTCCTATTCCACTAATTTATTTTTTTAGCACTTATAAGAAAAAATCTCCTACTCTTAACAAAGCGCACTCTTAATTTGGGATTAAACCCTTAGGAAAGTACGGTAGCCAACTAGATTAAACTTACTTAATTTTCTATTCCACTAATTGTATATACTTATTATAGAAAAGAAAAAGAAAGAGCGAAATAGAAATAGAAATAGAAATCCACAAACTTGAAACTTGTAACAATCCCATATTTTTACTCTAGAAAAAGTAGAAACTTAAAATCACCAAAATCAAATTCATCATCCCATTTCCCACTCTACTATCATTTGCAAATTTAAAAGGGAATATATGAGAACTAAAACCTGAATACTTCTCAAGCTTACCAATGATCACCTCCATCGCTGTTACTGATCTCTGCATCATCAACTTCACCATCAAATTCATCGCTCTCATGATCATCATCGAATTCATCTACTTCTTCCTCTTCCTCTTCCTCTTCATCTTCTCCAACAATTTCATCATCAGACTTGAAAAACTGCAATTTCAATCTCCCATCTTCGCGACTCGCGTGCAAGAACTCCTGAGTAGGAATCCTTATTTCCTTCAAAACGAACCTCCCATCTTCCCGGTACGATTTGAAGCACACACATGGCTTTCCACTCTCTCCAATACAAGAAATTGGTGGGGGAAATCCACTACCACTTGTTCTTGTCTTCTTCAATTCAATATTTTCAGTCGGATTCTTCTCGATTAATCTAATTCTCTTTTCTTGATTTTCCCAATCACTAGTTTTCAAATCCTCAACATCATCAGAGCTTTCGAACCCAAGTCCCTCAGTGCATAGCTGTAAACTCTCTGAATTCATAGATGAAAAGCTTTCGCTGTTGTTGTGGTTGTACTGCTTTCCGTGACTGCTCGAGAAGTAGTCTGATGGGTTCTTTGTATTGTTGTCAGTTTTGGGTCTGGATTGTGAATTTAGATATGTGAGTGATGGGGATGATGATTCTGGGTTTTCCTTGAAATGTAATTCTCCGAAGATTTCTGTAAAAGAGGAATCTTCGATGGGTTCTGAGGATTTGATGTGATGATTCCACGAAGAGAGGGACTCGAGGAGTGTTGGGTTTTCGGGTAGTGGCTTTTCGAAGATGTGTTGGAGGCTTCCACAGGCAGCCATGGGGAGATGGGTCTCCAGTGCTCTGTTTTGAGTGAGAGTGGTGGTGGTTGGAAAGAACAGTGGAAAGGGAAAAATACAGTTGGGTTTTTAGAGAGAGAGAGAGAGAGAGAGAGAGAGAGAGAGAGGCAAAATATAGTTGGGTTGATGATAAAGTTGAGGGGGGATGAGGATACTATTTTATTAGGAAGGGTACTCTCTCTCTCTCTCTCTCTCTCTCTCTCAGTTGGGGAGTGGAACAGGGATGGGTGGCTATGGAGCCTGGTATCAATTTGGTGGTCATAATTCTAGAGGTCTTTTGACAACTTGCTAAAAAAATCAATTTTTTTTGGCTTTTTAATGTTTTTTACATAAATAAGTTATCAAAAAAGTCAAAAAAGTTAAAAAATTATTTTTTATCAACTTCTCAAAACACCACTATGTCAATTGTATTTTATGTATGAAAAATGTTTGAAACTTTAAAAAAATAGTCATAATTCTAACTATAATAATGTGATAAGATATGTGTTAATTTTTGATTTGTTATACATTTTTAATGATGGTCGATCTAACTCCCATGCTACATGTAAATTTGTGAGTATAAATATATAGGTCTCTAGCATTACTGTTTATGTATATATCTATTTGGACTATGCTTCCCTGTTGTGGGGGTCCGTATCGGTTAGTACAGATTTTGTTTTGATAATTTAAATCATTCATTTTGTAAGCCTTTTTATCTATATTATTTATAGAAAAAAAAATTAAATTACTATGATAATTGTAATTTGCTTATTTTATTGCATTTGTTTTAAAAAAAATTGATAATTTATTTTCAAAATTACACATCTTATTTATTTTTCAAAGATAAGTATGATAAAATGACTTATTTTTTTTATATGAATGATAGAACATAAAATAAACCATTTATATTATTTATATGGGAGCCGTAACGTAGCTCATGGGCAAAAGAGATGGCAAGTAGGATTGGAAACACAAGTTGGGGGTAACGAGCACGCTCAGTGATGGCAACAGTTCGAAGTGGGATAGGAAATGGGGGTTTGTTTGGGCTCTCTACTAAAATAAGTCTTTAAATATCCTACCCATCCATTCTCTCGTTAAGGCTATTCTTGATTTCATCACTCTTTGCCATTTCTTAAATCAATTTATGTATAATACCACCGAGGTTGGTGGCTAGTAATGAAGCCATTGTCTTTGCACAACATTAAGTCAAGTTTGACTTCTAAGGGGTGTAAAAAACTGGATTTTTCAATAATTCTTTTTTGAGATGTTGCACTGTATTTTAATCGAACCTTAACCCTGTTAGGGGGTGATTGGTGAGCTCCACTGGTACTCTGGTGGTTGGTCCCTTCTTTTAGGTTGGGTTAAATCAGACTGGCAATAGGTTATCCCGAAGTATAGGCCCATGGATGCAGTGATGACATCTCAAAGCATCCTTCTTTTTCGTTCAAAAATAAAATAAAATTGTGTATAGTACTAATGCCCTCCTTGGAAAGTTACATTTGGGTTAAAATAGTTAATAACTATAAAAATAAGTTAAAAATTATCAATAAGATATATGTCACATTCAAATTATAAACATTTTACTTTCTCTCGTAACCATCAAATCAATTATCAAAAAAAATAAAAAAATCAATTATCATCACAAATATAATTTTTTTAATCAGGTTAAAATACTCAAAAGATCAACTAAAATAATTTATTTCCAAACATGGCCCAAAAATGGTGCTTTACAGCATATCCTTGATGTGATTGGTAAGCTTATATAAATCTTTATCGATCAATGGCGGGTGTTGATGTAGGTCTTCTTTAATTTGATGCAAATCTAGTTTTTCAAATCACATCTGTGAAAAAATCAATGATTTTTCTTGACTCCTAATTGATTTTTTGACGGATTTATTTTTGTCCTTTCGTAATTTGTTTGTTTGGAGGGATTAAAAGGGGGATTAGACTCCATGTTTATTAGATCATGGAATCCATTGTTGGTTGCAAATTCGTAGATCGAATTAGGAGTCCGGTTGAACTATCAATCCCACATATATTGGTCTAGAATTGATGGGATAACGATATTATGGGATTAAATGGTAAAATGACATATTTGTCCTCCAAGTATTTGATTTAATTATGTATTATATTTAGTAAAATTAAATAAAATTAAATGTCTCAATTTAAAAATAAAATAATTTTATTTAATTTTTATTGATGTTTTATTTAGGGCAAATTACATATACCTCCCTCGAGGTTTAGCTAAATTACAGATACCCCCCTGAGGTTTCGAAAATTACAGATACCCTCCTGAGGTTTATATTTTCATAAAGGTTTCGAAAATTACAGATACCCCCCAGAGATTTATATTTTCATAACAAATTGCCTATTGAGGCTTATATTTTCATAACAATTTGTCCCCTAATTTGTTATGCAAATAGTACCTTCAGGGGGTATCTGTAATTTTGCTAAACCTCGAGGAGGTATATGTAATTTGCCCTTTTATTTATTTATTTTTAAAATAAATCTTTATACATTTTTATTTTAAAATTTTATTGAAGTTTTATTTAATTATTATTATTATTTAAAATAAATTTATTTCAAAAAATAACATAAATTTTTATTGATATTTTATTTATTTAATTTAAAAAAATAAATTTATTAAAGTTTTTTAAAAAATAAATAAAATAAATTTTTATTTAATCTAGCCAAAAAAAATTAAAATATTAAAGACATGTTTAATATTGCTATTACTTATTAACTAATTGAAAATGATAAAATAGTCTTTTGAGCACTTATCATTCTTCATGATATTCTAATCAAACTTTTGATTCAATAGAATAGTTATTTCTAAACATCTAATCACATGAGAAAATAAATATGAGATGCACAACATTTTCAATCAAATAGTCTAGGGACTATGTATTTTTGGATTAATAGTCTGATGAATTGTAATTCCCCTTATCCAGTCCGTCGAAACAAGAACGGACTGAATAAAGGAGGATTGGAATGCAACGGATATTAATCCTGAAATAAATAATCTCTAGACTATTTGACTAGAAATGATGTGTATAGCATATTTGTTTTTTCATGGGATTAGATGTCTAAAAATGAACAGGCTAATTTAGTAACTTTTTGGCTATTTTGCTAAAATATGAGCTAAAAAAAACTAATATGTTTTGGGATGACTTTTCGACTTTTTACGAAAAGATGTGCAAAAAGTAGAGAGAAAAGAGAATCTTTGACTTTTTGGTATGAGTTGTTGGCTTTTTGGCTAATTTAGTAACTTTTTGACTTTTTGACTAAAAGGGAGGGTTCCCAAACCAGGCCATGTTTGATTTGAAAATTATGAAAAATTATAACTTCTTAAAAGATCATTTTATCTTTTTGAATTGTTTATAATAACAATGCTAAATTTAAAATAAATTTTATTTTATTTTATTTTACTAAGATTACTTTTAATTTTAATTAAATACGACATTAGAAGTATATTTTCATTAATGATTTTGTTAATAAGGAGAAGAAAAAAAAAAGAAGAAGTTATTATATATCACGGGATTAATTTGCATATGTTAATAAATAAATAAATAAATGATTAATAGAAGATAGGGTTAGGAATTAGAAAAAATGGTCCTTTCAAATAGTTGGGCTGGGCCTTAACTATTGGTCTTTTAATGGGTCAAAAAAATTATATTAGTTTGGATATTTTTAAAAAAAATTTTAGACTTAAAGCATATCTAATATATAATACTATTATAATAAGAGGGACTCCTATTTTGAACCTATTTTAAGAAATACTAAGCAATGGCTTTGCAGGCCTATGACGAGGGCCGGACCTGATTTGACGGAGTCAAAATTAGGTGCTATTAATTGACACATATCAGCAAATGAGTGGTGGTAGAAAAAAAGAGAGTTGGGGAAGATAAGATGCAGACGGCAGTGTTATTATGCAATTGTTTGAAAAGTGGGTTTGAGTGGGTTTGAATAGTTAAAAAAATAAATAAAATAAATTTTTATTTAATCTAGCCAAAAAAAATTAAAATATTAAAGACATGTTTAATATTGCTATTACTTATTAACTAATTGAAAATGATAAAATAGTCTTTTGAGCACTTATCATTCTTCATGATATTCTAATCAAACTTTTGATTCAATAGAATAGTTATTTCCAAATATCTAATCACATGAGAAAATAAATATGAGATGCACATCATTTTCAATCAAATAGTCTAGGGACTATGTATTTTTGGATTAATAGTCTGATGAATTGTAATTCCCCTTATCCAGTTCGTCGAAACAAGAACGGACTGGATAAAGGAGGATTGGAATGCAACGGACTGTTAGTCCTGAAATAAATAATCCTTGGACTATTTGGCTAGAAATGATGTGCATAACATGTTTGTTTTTTCATGGGATTAGATGTCTAAAAATGAACAGGCTAATTTAATAACTTTTTGGCTATTTGACTAAAATATGAGCTAAAAAAAACTAATATGTTTGGGATGACTTTCGGCTTTTTACGAAAAGATGTGCAAAAAGTAGAGAGAAAAGAGAATCTTTGACTTTTTGGTATGAGTTGTTGGCTTTTTAGCTAATTTAGTAACTTTTTGACTAAAATGGAGGGTTCTCAAACCAGGCCATATTTGATTTGAAAATTATGAAAAATTATAACTTCTTAAAAGATCATTTTATCTTTTTGAATTGTTTATAATAACAATGCTAAATTTAAAATATATTTTATTTTATTTTACTAAGACTACTTTTAATTTTAATTAAATACGACATTAGAAGTATATTTTCATTAATGATTTTGTTAATAAGGAGAAGAAAAAAAAAAGAAGAAGTTATTATATATCACGGGATTAATTTGCATATGTTAATAAATAAATAAATAAATAAAAATAAAAATAAAATCAACATGTTTAAATATGTTATATATTCTTTTCCTTTTAAATATTGAAAATATATTTTCTTTTATTACTTTTCTAATACCAACAAATAAAAAGAGAAAATAATTATAT